GGGGGGGGGGGGGAGGAAGGGGATTGCATGCCAGTGAAAATCCTGGCACGGTAGTCTGTGCCGGAGGAGGCCGGCTGGAATGGCAAGGCATGAGTCACTCAGGCCCGAGAAGGCGTGATGCATTCATTCCATGGCTGACTTCCGGGCCCCGTCTCCAGGGAGGCTGAGTAACCCACAGGAAACGCTCCAGAGCTGCCAGCGCCATTCTCCAGACCAGATGTGCAGCCTCTAGGAGATGGGGACAGGATCGTGGGCCAAGTGCAGGCCATGGCTACCGCCGGTGCAGGTGACAGATTATAATTAGTGCTGCATCGGCCGCCGCCTGGTTCTGGTTCCTGGCAGCCATGAGACTTCTGGTCAGCTCCAGATACTGTCGTAATATAAGCACCCTGCTTAGCCGTTTAGGTAGAGCAAAGGGTGAGGAATGACAGACATCACCACCTCGGCTAATGTGTCACAGCACAGAGCTCTTTGGCTTACTGGAACGATCTGGAAGTTGTCCACCAAGCACTCAGAACATGCAATCTGGAATTTATTTGTGCACCAAAGAGACAGGGTACAACGTGTCATCTACATCACTAGAATACAACTTCTCATACCTGGTTTTAACTTGTAGTCAACAATCAGGTACAAAAAAAATGTACTAAAGAAACAAAGTGATTTTTCCACTGTGACAATCAACGTCAGTGAAATCCTTGGGGTCGTGAGGCGTTCAAGATTTCAAGAAAGTTTCTATTAGTTCCTGTGACATACTCCAATACGCTTATGCAACACATGGATATCGTTTGCCCTTCAGCATTTTCAACCATCTGTCCATCAGTGGGAAATAACTATACTCTGAAATCACTCTTCATCACTCATGGCTCAAAAAGGAAAGATCTGGATTTTTAGATGTCAAAGATCTCCTGTACCATTCCAGGCAGGGTCAGGCCAAGGACAAAATGTTCATCTTGTTTCTATGGTGCTTCAACTGACTCAAATCTGTTGCTACCGTCATTGCAAGGACAGGTTTGAGACACACAAGGATGCCAAGAAAGATTGATCTGGACTACCATGTTTATTTCCAGGTACCCTGTCAAAGTTCAGATGTCTGTCTGAAAGGTAGTGAAGCAAACAAAAGCTCAGTATAAACAGAAACTCAATACGTCAAGCTAGGAGTAGGTGTGAGAAATGTGGTCTGGGATCCATTCGAAGACTCCAATGGTTGAATCACGTAGACATAACAACTCACAACAATCCTGCCAATACCAATATATAGACAGGACAATGCAAGCCCCTGTTTTTAGAGCTGATCAGTCTCTATAGCTCATGTTACTGGGTTAGATGGACGGAGGGGTCAGCAATCTGTTGAAAAGAGAGGTCCGCTGTTCAATCAGCTGCCCACTTGTTCTCTCTGGCCTTCCTCTGTCTTGCTGACGTCGGTATCATCTTTGGTTCCTGCCTTGGAAACTCTCCAAGGCTCCTTGTCTAAATGAATTTGCCTTACACTAGGTCGGACAGACGCAGCGGAACACGGATGGGAGAGGGAGGCCTGCATAGCAAGGGCCAGGGTGCTGAGGCAATGTTTCTCCAAGCCAGTAGGGGCCAGTGAGAGGGTTTTGCTGGGGGGGAGGGTATTAGTGAGGCTTAGCAGGAGTACGCTGGTGAACAGTACAACACTAAAGTGTGAATTAAGCTAGATGAGAGACAGGCTGGGCAGGATGACGGCTCGCAGCGTCCTGCACTGTGGGTTTGAATTCCGCCCAAACTCCACTGGGAGTATTCGAGTTTCTTCTCAATATCCAAACATGGTTCAAGTGGCTCCAGAAAGACTTTTGCGCACAACTCTGAGGTGAAGTTTGCCTGTGTTCGGCTCGAAAGCCCCGTTTGGAGTGTAGCAAGTTTTCTGGGATGAGCTCCAGGTCATGACAATCCTAATTAAATATGCAATTACTGAGCACTAATGAATGAACGACAGAAACTCCGAGCTTGCCAGACGAACTCCAGGTTCATTTATTACTGGATGATTATTGTCCCAAAACATTGCATTTTAACTGTGCTAACCAGTAACATACTTTAGGAGATTAGGAGATTTAGACCTATGGAGAGAGGAACCGTTTCTAAATATCAGTCAAAAGAATTATTGTTTGGGGTTGTGATCTTAAAAGACAAATAACTCCTCTCTTGGGTCTCATGTACCTCATCATATTAATTTCTCAGCCAGGATTGGATGAACAAGTATCCTCACAGATGTCATTTGAAAATGAATAATGACTTAAAGTAGAACAACCACTGCCTCTCACAAATGAATGAATCTTACTGGAAACTTTGTGCTCCATCCAGTCAGATGACAGACAATGAGACATTTTTTTTAAGCGAATGGAGGGCTGCCAAAATTCAAATTCATCATGCATATTCTTGCCTAATAACGTTACAAATACTGCCAAATGCTACAAAGATACAAAAACTGATTAATGATAGACTAATGTAGTGATGCACAGTCATCATTCGAGTAACAAAACGCCGACATTACAAGTAGCAGGTGTAATAACATGTACTGTATGACTCGAATGTTATAATATTTAAAGCGTACATATAAATTTAATAAGAACAGGACATGTCATTAAAGCGGTTAGAGTTGAGTCGAATGATTTATGACATAAATCCGGTAAGAACAGTATCGGTGAGCGTTATCACTTTTTTCAGTGCAGGGGGGGAATAATTTATTGGTAGTGAATCTGTCGAGCGGACCAGCAGGAAATTGAAATGTGAACTTTCCGGTTTCGGAGGCGACTTGGCTGGCCGCTCTTCGGCGCCACCTGACTTAACCACCTCGCTCGAGTTAAATCTAAATAACAAGGCGAGCGGGGAGAGACAGCCAGCGAACGAGCGTCTGTTCACCCATCCGACCGCACTGACAACATCCCGCAAATTACTCGCTGCAAATTATTTCGGGGATTAGCAACATGGAGCATGCAAAGGGTACACATGTAAGAGTAGAGTGCAGTCAAACAATTAATATAATTCCGCTTTTATCATTCTCCGGACAACTTTTTGAGCCATCTTTTGCTTCGAGCTTTTCCAGCTTATGGAATAAAGCACATCGATACATTTTACTAGGAGGAATATTAAAAAAAGATGAATCACAGGAGATTTATGTGGATAAAGGTGAGGCTGCGATGTACCTACCCGTACGCTGCACGCTAGCTCGTCCTTGCTGCGCAACTCAAAGGATTCTTCCTCTTCTTTTTCCCCATAGTCTCTCCCAAGTAAACTGAACCCTTGCCTGCAGCACAGAAGCCAACAAAATCCTGGGAAAGGCATTCAAGTAGGGATAACCTGGGAAGCCTTCGGAGAACGCGAGCATCCACTGTTACTCCCAGTGCGCGTGCAGTGAGTCAGGAGGTGGCGCACACCGCAAAGTCGCTAACACCGTCCGAAAGGGATCGTACCATCCGGTCTGTGTCTGCTGTCCATAATAATTCCCCGTGGGTATAAAACAGATAGGCATGCACTTAGAGCAGATTTTTCCTCAAAAAGAACCTAGAAATATACGTAAAAACGTCAAGTATAGTTCAATCAGAGCTGACAGCGGCACACAAAACGACTTCCCCCTGTGAAAAGTGGTCACTTAAAGTTACTTTTCCTCAGCAAACATTTCACTGTTTACCTGCCGGGGCATCTTGCTGACCGCAGAGACATAAAATAAAAAAGTAGTCAAAGAGCAACCTGGAAAGGGTTCCTTTTTTAAAGGATATGAAATCTCGTCTCATGCCGCACAAAAAG